GGACTTACTCTCATGTCTACCGCTATCCTAGAGTCCTCCGGCTGGGACCTAGGGGAGGCTATCTGGCCCACCGCTGGCCCGGCGGGTGTTGACCACTGGATGCGCCGAGCCTTAGCCCTCAGAAGGGCTGGAAGGCCGGGTCCAGGGTCCTGGCTATCTTCAGCCCGGGCTTTGGTCTTCGTGTAGGGAGAGAACTCCCTGCGCTCTGCGCGCTCACCCTTCTTATACCCGTCTATGGCCAGGTGTAACCAATCCCACATTCCCACGTGGAACTGTCTGATTGGTTCTTACCAAACTGTGGCTACGATCCACTTCACCTCGTCTGACCCCAACCGTTTCACACAGAGGTAACGCTGCACTGCCCCTTTGATACCTAGTGGCAATGCAGGTTACTGAACAGTGAGTAGTTAGCACCTCTACACATACATACGGTATATGCATACTTCTTTAAAGAGAGGGTACTGCCTCTTGTGTTTACGTGTGTGTGTGTTCTCTGACCATAACTAAGCAGACACAAGCGCTCGACTGGCTCAGCTTTATGAACTGGTTCTTTCTCCAAATCACTTCGCCCGCAGCAAAGTGATCGAGCGAAAAAAGTAGAGAACAGTCTTGTTTGCGAGACGTGAAGATTGGGGGGTTCATATTCTATGGTTCTTTCGGTAAAGTCACGTGGATATAAAATAAAAATAAAACACAATAAAAATATAAAAAATATATAAAACCAAAAAACTCACGACGTTTCGATCGCGACACCTGATATTTTGTTTTTAGTATTTTTATGACATTTTCTATCTACGTGACTTTACCGAAAGAACCATACAATATGAATTCCTGCAGTCACGAAAGTTTTAAGTCAAAACGCTTGGGGGTGTTTGTGTGGGGTGGCGCGCGCGCGCGTGCGCGTGCCCTTCTCGACGTACGATCCTGTGGGCCCCCCCCTCTCCCCCCTCTCCCCCCTCCGCTGTGAACGATTCTTCCTGTTGTCGCACCTGATTCTCGGTGAAGCAGCTGTTCGCGTCGGCCCTCGTGTGAGAGGCGCGCTTTGTGTTTTTGGCGCAGCCTGGATCTAAATGCGACGTCCAAAGTGATCGGGGAGGCGGGTGTTGGTGGTGGTGGTGGTGGGCTTGCCTTCCATTCTGCGGTCTCTACCCGGCAGCTGTAATTGTTGTTTTAAACGCGTGCTGGCCGGGGGTAACTCGATCAGCCACCTGTCTGCCTGCACGGGGCCTCATGACCGATCCATCGTCGAACCGCACGGGCTGACGATGACTCTCGATTAACAAACCCATTTAATTCCATTGTGGTGTGCGCCACGGCTGAGGCTTGTGTTTTAATTAAACGGTGGGGAGCGGAATCGCCGGTTTTAATCACAGGCTGGATGTTGTTTTGTTGCCTTCACGTCGGAATATCACTTTTTTGGTCGTTGGCAAGATGTTAACGTTTTTGAAAGATGTATTTAAAAAAATAGTGATTTCGCATTCTAGAGGTGGTGAAAATATTTTTGCTCATGGGATGTTAAAAGCACCGAATTTTACCTTTACCCCAACATCGCCACACCGAGTGTGTTATTAACCTTTTAGAAGCACCATATCTGTACTCGTGTGACCTGTTAAATATCTCAAACGGGCATAATCGCTTAGTCAGATTTAAATATTGCTTGCCCTTCATACATACTTTATTTTTTTTGTTACAGAAGCCACAAAGTAAATTTTCACACGATTAATTATATTAGATACCCTTGAATAATTGACTACGTAAGTGCGTTTGAGATTCTGGCATGCTTAACAAATGTAATATCTTTACCGCACAAAAACAACAATCTTGGGGGGGGGGGGGGGGGGGCGGGGAGTTGGAGGGAGGGGTTCCAGCACAACAGCAGAAAGTGAAGCTTGAAGCTGATGGTGGTGCGGCCCCTTTTGGAGTCTCAGTTGGGAGCGTCCGGGTTGTGCCTGATGGAGGCGGGCAGGTGGAGGCCCAAACGGCTCCATGCGCCCGGGAGACGGCTGATGTGAGGAAGGTCACAGCTGCTGAAATTGGTCGTTGCTTTCAAAACCAAAACACGCGGAGAAATCCTCATCCCACCATCACCACCGGCTTCCCCCATTCTTCCTATTCGTCCACCCCTTCTCAATTCCTGTTGAACGTCTCAGCCCACCCTACCCCTGGCATCAACTTCTTCTTTCCCCGTAAGTCCACCCCGCATTCACATTTGAGGGTCTACACGCACAGAGTTGTATATGGTAGTGCGTGATGCTGCGCATATAACCGGACAGCTGTTGTCTGTAAAAGCAAGATGAAACAAATCCCTGCTGGCTTTTAATGACCCTTTAAAGCGTGCGGCATGAAAATGTCAGAATATTGTTGAGGGCTTGCAATCGTGGTGTGCTCCGTAGTTGGGTTTTATACCTGGAGGAATGTGCACATCGGTACAATTATTTCCATTGTGGCAAATTCTGTAAATGGCAATCATCAGGCCAATGCTAGCTGATTTAAAAAATATATATACAAAATGGCCATGCAATACTGTATATACTATTCATAAAACAGTTAAAACTTTCAGTTAACTATTTTTGCGTGTAAAAATACATGAGATCATTTGGCTATTTTGGTTGAAAATGTCCCAAAATTGTTGCATCATATACTAAAAATATTCACTAAATACAGGACAGTAATGTAAAAACATATTTAACTTTGAGGATTTTTTTTTTTACAATTTGCTTTACATTTGTAAGAAAAGTACTATCGAAGGATACATACATATATTTAAGAAAAATAATTGATTCAAGTGGTCATATTTTCCCCAAAAATTACATTTTGACCTGTTTGCCCCCACAATGTACTTTTTGGCTATTTCTTAAGTATTATTTTGAATGAGTAATGTTACTTTACTCTGTAATCAATATACACCAAAACACCTCGAAGCCAGACTCTGGTAAGCCAGAATTTAGGGTAAGCCAGAAATGCTACCGAAATTAACATTAATTAACCAAACTCTGACCTGTACACTTTACGTGCTAATTAATCTGTGCACATTATATTGGGTAAAGCTTTACGCTAATCCTGTGTAGGAAATGCGAAGCGTACTTGTACTCACCAGATCAATATGCCATACCCGACCATTATAATACTACTTAGAATTGCCCATTTGTATAGTACAGTAATTCCAAAGTTATATACTTATCTTTTCTATGGAATTCAGTTACCCATGCCCCCCCTGGATGCCTTGGTCGTCCATGTGCGCTGCGCTGATAGAGCTCCATATTCTGTTTTTGTTACATTTATTTTCCAAATAAACAAAGTAATTTCTCCAAGCTAGTGAGAAACACCTTTCAGCTTCCAATCTCTGCTTTATGGTGATGACAACTCCGATTAAACTGTTAAATAGATGTGGCGATTTTAAGCGTTATTAAATTGTAGGTGTTAACTCCGTGTAATATTTATTTGTAGAACTATTTATTGAAAAGTGTGTTACCACCATTAGTAAAGCTTGGAGGGAAAATTAATAAGCAGATGCAGAAAAAGTTATTCTTTATACTACACGTCAACCACAAGCTCTTCTGGCAGTGCATCATTTCAGCAGCATTGATTAAATAGGAAACTGGACAAGTTTTGACGCAGTGTCTCATCAACAGTCAGGCTTGCTTGAACCAATGCTGAACTGTCAGATGTTATGGACAAGGACACTCTTTCAGACATGGGCGAGTCCTGGTTCGATGCAACACTTTCTAAAACATCGTCATGGAGAGTATAACAAAATAAAGGGGGCAATATTGGAGAGGTTTTATTGAATCACTTATTGAAAAAAGGATTTGCCAAAAATGTTTTTTTTCAAATTACCTCCCATATAATGTAATTTAATGAAAAAACAGTGTTCTCCTTAGCAGTCTATTTCACCCCCAAAAATAACACGGTACGTTTTCCGCTCAAATTAACCAAGCTTTATAGCCATGTTAAACAGCCTTGTGGAAATGATATGCTCCGCAAGCCTATTACTATACGTTGGTCACATACACATTTAGTCCATTACTGTCATGGCAAGTGTTTGCATAAACTATTAATGCAGTGGTCACACTCCACTGCTTCAACATGCGACAAATTCAGAGTAATGCACACTGCCTTTGGTATCTTTGCAAACAGTATTTGCTCACCTTTGTACCGTTTAACACTTCTTAAGTGTTGTGTATTTTTCACGAGTTTGCATTTTTAAATCTAAATATGCCGCCATCTAACTATAACACATGTATTGCATTTTTCCGTAAACACGATTGTTAATTGTCAAACATTCATGTTAAAAACCTTGTGTGTATTTATAGTATGTCAGCCTTGCAATTTACCTACATTTCACAGTACACATTAAATGTGCTGTCCTCTGTATTGAACATCACATTTTCCAGAAAAATATTGAGAATTAAAATTGACTTTTCTGAAATAGGGTTCACAAAGAGCAGAGTCCATTTAAATTATTACCACCATGCCTTTCTTTGAGAAAATGAAGCCAGGCATTTTCAGTAGGTGTGGAAAGAATGGTGACAGCTGTCCAGCAGGAAGGTTTAACGTCCATTCTAATGGGATTAGAGGATCAGGACACCTGTGGTAGAGATCACATGGACAGGCAACAGCAGGATTTGACGATTCACCAACTTCCACGCAACGAGTGTAAAATAACGATGTTGCACGCTTCTCAGAGAAGAAACGTACAGCAGTAATTAGGTGCTGTACAAAATGTGTATATTTATGCATAATAAACAGCCCTCGTCAAGCCACTGCTGGATGCAAGCATTCCCACACTATGCCAGTAATGCTGGTCTATGTGGGTTGGTAAAAGGGGGCAGAGCGGTGGGGGGAGCAGGGGACCCTGTTAAAACATCTCACCACTGATGACCAATTGCCTCGAATCAAAACCGGGTTTTGTTGGGTTCTTGGCACAGGATGCTCATCACTGCATCGCCACTGCCATGAACGCACCTCGATGGACATTATTTTGTAAGTCAAAAATTGTACAGGATTATAATAAAATAGTTTATTTAACATTTCTTGTAGGATGGTGTTCGTGATACAGGGTAAAATTAGTGCTTTTTTACTGACAATAAATAACACTCACAAAACATACTGATTTGAGGCAATGTGCAACTCCAAACTAATAACTGAAAGGTGAAAAGATCGGCTCATTATGACAATGGGGAAAAAAACAAGAAACCCTATATGTTACATGCGTAACAGTGCCGTTTATTCAAATAAATAATTTTTCCAAAGCAGTCATGTACAAGAAATTTGTTTTTAACTACAAAAATAAAAACCTTCAATGACAAAACACACACAAGAGCTCGCACAAACTCAGGAAAACACACACACACAAAAAAAAACAATTCTCCCAAGCTTGGCTCAGCATTCAACAAAGCAAAGCTCTACCATACACTACCTGCACGCAAAGGATTTAAAAAAAATTAAAGGCAAATAAGAAATAACATCTTGTTGCCACTTTGGCTTTCAACAACCTTTTTGTAAATCAGGACTACGCTGAAAAAGCGCCTTATAATTTATAAATAAATTAGTCATGAATAGCCACTTTCTAAACAACATATTTATACACACGTGGATAGAGGGTATTCCAGCTGCTTAGATTTTAAATAAAGCATGATCTTTGTCATCGATATTGGTAATAAAAAGGAAATAAAAACATTAAACAAAAAAACATCTGCTCATACTATTTATAAACCGTCAAAATACAAACAAAAATAGTGCACCTTGGTTTAAAGGGTTATTCTTCCAAAACATTACAACAAAGTATTAAGTGAATGTATAAAAGCAAGTGAAAAAATGGGTTTACAGTTATCACCTTTAAGGAGACATGCCTTAATGTTTACTGCTAATTTTAACCTGGATTTTGAGAAAATTAAAAATTATCCTCCAGAATGTTTTTAATGAAAGTGTGCAAGGGATCAAAACATTATACAGGCCTTCATCAGAAACTGTACAAATTACAGCATTAACTCAGCTGTATTTATATAATTTTATATATCTATTTTAGACTTATGGATGTTACCATGAAAATAATATTTAATTAAAAAAATTTATATTGATAAAAAATCACTTTTAAATTATTGTATTCCATGGCTTAGAGCTGTACTTAAAATGAATAAACATCATATAGCTTAAACATTGTCTTCAAGCTGTCTTTGCTACATCTTAAGATGACACTAAACTTCGAAAGAACATTAAAAAAAATCCCACAAAGCATACCCAAAAAAAAATTGCACAGTCTTGCCATGTTTAAATTAGTAACTTAAGTCGATGGACCAGCCTTTTCATTGGCCGAGGATGCTAGGCAACGCATATTATCTGTGCCTTCCCCATGTAAGGTTTCCATCTGTCCAGTGCTCAAAATTGTCTTTCATGTCTTGTATTGTCGCCCTGAGTGTGCTGGCGCTCGTAATCGTCATCCAAGTCCTGAGCGCTCCTCTCTTCGGCAGTGGAAGCCTGGGACCTGAAATCACAAAATGCGCAGATAAGTAAAACACATTTTTATTAAATGGCAGATATTTTTTAGCAAAGGTGTTGACATACACAAAATTCATTGCATATATCATGAAAACCACAACTATTCATTGGTAATTGTCAATTTCTCAAAAACATCCAAAGCCATAGGTAAAAACACAAAACATATCAGGTTCTTTATATCTAAAATAAATAATTTTTTGAGCACGAACATAACCATTGCTGCATACTGCAATGGACAAGATGTGAAACTTGGTCTAAGTAATATCAATATTTTCTGAAGGCTTTCTTTACCGAATAATTACTCTCCCAATTGCTTGCAACTTTTTACACCTTGAATCCTACCCTACCTTCCAAATTTAGGAAAATACTTCAGTAAACGTGGAGGTGTGGTGCTATCCAAATGCACCACAGTTCATACCCAAACACAACGCCAATTTGTAGCAGTGACCTCTCTGGGTTTAAGTTAAGAGCCGACCCGCAGTAAACCCACTTGGTTAAAAAACTCAAAGGCTGTAAAGACCGAGCCTGTCCCAAGTGCACAGGGTCCTTATACATCTTGAAGCACTTGTCGAACTAAGGAAATGAGCCACTCACTTCTGCATGGAAACAAACTCCAAATGTTTTCTTTTCAGATTGCCTCCATCGCCACTAAATCGCAGGATTTGTGCAACCAAAAAAAAAGTTTTGTATGCAGGAATTGCATCTACTATGCAAATAAGCTAAGCAAGTACAACGGCGGACGCCTGTGTTCAGAGATGCTTTTTATACATATTACTTTATATGCACACACACACATGAATGACAAAAGCTATTTGTAGCTCATTATATTAGCATGTCAGCTTTTCGTGTGTCCTCATTTTGCATATCACTACTCTGTAATCGTACTGTTGGTAAGCAATACAAAAAGTGTCACGAGTCAAATTTCTAACTTGATTACCACTTGTGTAATAGTCAACCACACCAAGACTCATCATTACACCACCAAACTACTGATATTCAGTACTTACTGAAGTGACATTAATGTCCCAAGAGAAGGGCATGGTATTTCACAATGAACTTTTCATTTGAAGAAATATCTAAATTATTCAAATCTCGAGCCACCAATGTTTCTATTTCCAAGTGGTTTGATCACATTTTTTAGAGTACGCTAACTATAATTGTTAACAATACTTGTACAGCTAAAGTCACTATCTCATAACATGTTAACTCTGATGAATATATTTGTATATCAGGCAATAACGATGAGCACGCTACGATTCCCCAATATAGTAATACACTAAAAAGAGACTACACTCCCTGGCATAACACTGGCTGTGCACAGTAAACAAACACTCTCACAAGTCAAACTTGATTTGGAGTTTTCGTGACTGCAGGAATTACTCTTTGGTTCTTTCGGTAAAGTCACGTAGAAAGAAAAAACAAGTTAAATAATAGCAACACAAGCAATCATCAACAGGTACAAATGAAAGAGAAAACAAACCTAGTAAACTTAGAAATATAATGCAATACAACACAGAGAGTCGGCTAACATAACAGTCAACACCCTACCTGGTTAATTACGTTCTTCCAAAGGTTGCTATATTTGAGAGAGAGAGACAAAACACATACACGGAAACACAGACAGACACATAAGCAGAGAGAGATAACACAGACACACAGAGAGACACACACACACATAGGCACACAAGTCCTCCTCCAGTGGAAGCCTATGGAATAAAAAGCCTTTCAAATAAAACTTATTTTTGTAATCAGTCCTATTTAGTGTTTTACTTAATAGGTGAACCTACGCCAAACTCAAATATTATCTTAAAGTCAATGGCAAAGACAACCTTCGAGTGATTGTGTGCAAATTGAAAACAATTTACAATTAGGGCAAGGACTCAATATGTATACACATCACTCACCCGTACAAATTGGACAAAAGCTAAAAACCTATCGCAATAGAAAGATGTAAGTGTGCCAGTTTTGTAGCAATGGCTTCGGCTCAAATAACTATCAGCCATTGCCGATATTCTTTTAGCCAATAAAAAGTTCCACATCGATGTCCAAATTGCCATATTGTTGCCAAAAGGTGTGGGGGCATCCACTATACAACATACTTTATGCACTTCAATGGGCACAAAGTAGCGGTGCTAAATGGAATAGATTACGATCTGTAAAACATAAAACTATACACATAGGAAGAGTGCACCACATCCTTGGCAAGCAATACTCGAGCCATGGTTACGCTTGGCTTTGCATTAAAAGTATACAAACTGATTTTGCGGATTTAATATTCGTATGCTATGACCATTTAGTCATGAGTAAGCATGTGTGTGCATGCGCTTCGATGGCAAAAGCACTGCACGACATTTATGCACGAATGCACACAGTACACATACACATGGCATACAGTGGCCAACTAATAAACACCCATGTGTGGACATAAACATATAAACCCACATATAAACAGACATGCATTATTTACACACAAATGTTTCCCAGGTGCAGAAATGAAAGTTGCCTTTTCAGCTAGTAAGCACAATGCTGCATTCCATAAGCTTTCCATTTAAGTTATTAGCCGGATATGGTGTATTATGGGCTTTTAAGCTGCAGTCTGCCAATAAAATTTAAACTTGCTCAAGAGGCCATATAGGTTGCATGGTATTCCTGTAGCGAGTACTGTGCCAGTAACGTACAGCTTATGATCACAGTTATTGTCATTAAATTTAACTCATCTTTGTGTATGTATATAATTATCAATCACGTAGATATGTGCATTGGGACGGTTTGCATTATATTACTACATTGCATTATGAAGAAATTGGCGTATGGCACGATGGCGCATTTTTAGTGTCTGCTTACTGTGCAGGACACAAAGCCAAGTGCATGGCTAAGCTAAATATCATCAAAGCATGTCTAGACACAAGCTTTGGACACTGCAAACCCACATCTTTCAGGACGAAAAGAGTTCGGTAAATGCATGAACCCAAAGAAAAAAAAGACTCCTGTGTGGAAGCTTGCTCCTCCCAGGCTGTCTCCACAGAACATGAAATACCAAGCACGACAGTATATTTTTTATCCCCATTAATAAGTTTCTGCAACTGATTTCATTGCATGAAATGTGTTGTAGCGTTTACATTGTACAGTTACAATTGTAAATGTAAACGTTTAAATAGCACCGTAACGTTTGGTTACATTTACACTTTAAAAGTTGAATTAAGCAAGCGAACAAATACATCTTATCACTTGTGCTGCTTGACAGAGCAAGCCTGTGATGAAACCCCATAGCTATTTTTTTTTTAAAACACCAAATTATAGACCACACTCTGGCTAAATCCAAGTTACTGATACTCATCCCAACAAACTGTAAATCAACCATCTTACAGCTTGTTCCAACACCAAAACCCACAACGCTTATCTCTGCTACTCTCTTTACCCCTTCCTCAATACCCCCCCCCCCGCCTTCAATCCTTTTCAACCGCTCCCAGCAAACACACAACACTTCCCTCTGCTTTGCATCTTAATCCATCATCATTTGTCAATCAAGACGTGTCAGTGCCGAGTGAATTAAGAGATAACCCCCCCCCCCCACCAATTCTAGAGACCCTGTGCACTGGCAACAAATGCTTGGCAGGCACAAACTGTGATTTAAAGTTGATGACCGCGTGCCCTTTCTCTTAGCCGTTCGAACAAAAAACAAACAGCTGATATATGCAGTACGACAAAGAGGAGTGCTGACGTATACCACGACTTAAATGCATAAAATATCCAAGGGTTAGAAGTCAAATTATTGTCATTCAAATGGGTATTCCAATCTTAATATGGTAACTTACTTATTAACTTTGATTACATTATTAACTTGCTGATGTTCAGTTTAAACAATCCGCCTTCTGCTGAGAATGACGTCGTCAGATAACACGCACTGATCGCTTACATTAAATAGTGATGCTTAGCGTTTTGGGTCTGTACTCAATAACCGTGATAAAAAAAAAGAGTTTATCGTACAAGTGTTTTTTTCACGGAAGAGACTCAATTATATGTACACTATTAGTCAACATTAGTGATTAAGTAAATGGCCCAAAACTCACTTTCACCCACACGCTTATCTTGTGGATGTAACGCACTACAAATCAAAACATTTAATAATGTACTATTCTCACACAACCATAATTCACTTGCCATGTACATGCGCTCTCAATAGCCATTGTTATTTTTAAAAAAATTACAGACCACAAAAGTGTCAAGGTAAACACTACGTCATCGCGTATACAACAAATTCGGTAAAAGCTTTGGCACAATGAGCTGCAGCGAAATAGTGTACTATATAAACACAGCTCTAAATGACTATACAGACACTATTTACGTGAGCTTTCCAAGTGAACTCTCTGACAAAAATTATATGGTTTAAATCAAGCACTATGAGCCTCAAATCTAGAGCAATATGGCACATAGTACAAGGAGTCATATTTTCAATGTGAATTTAGAATTGACTTTATATGCACACATTAATATGTGAATAAGATAAAAAAAATAACTGACAGCACTTTGTGAATCTAATGCTGCATGAAGGTCTCCCTACACCATGTTGGTCAATGAGAGTTGTTTGACTATATACTTGACGATAATGGTCAGTTTGGGGTGATAAATCTGGGGTGCCCATTTCAGTTCAGATGTCACTCGCCATTAATGTCAGATATCGCCAGAAATCAAAATCGGGTCGCTAGGTTCAGACTGCAGTGTATTAACGCCATTTGTGCCGCCGTTTTATACATGCAATATATATTTATACTGTAATATCCTTGGTCGATTTCTTTGAGCGGTTACTGATAGAGACATTTACATGAAGGTGACAATGTTGCAATAATGACCTTAGCATCATTCGGATTCACCCTAAAGTCAAACACAAATATAATAGGTACACATGGACCATAATACTTTAAAAACCATTGGTCTCACTCCTCTACAGATAAAAAAAATCCCAGACCCTTCTCAGCTCACTTTACTCTTCCATAGATGCCCTTACATATCAGTACCCAACAAAACTCATAAATTATTACTGAAATACCAAAACTGCATCATTGTATGTGTCATGAATATCGATCAAGTACTGCAAGGCGGATGTTTAATTAAAAAAAATTAAAACACGCAGTTCTCGTATGCTGCCAAACAGTCCTGCCTTCCAAGTCTACCCCACTCACTCATACAGATGTGACCTAAACAATGTGGAATATGTGCATCTGCCAATTGCGGGACCGAAAAAGTTGGATATTGGCAAGTCCTGTACCATAACCAATGAAACATGTAAAAAACTGCCATGGCAAGAGCATACAATAATCATTTGAAAGCATTTAAACCTCAATTGGCACTCTATACAGCCTTCTAAATTATTATGTGAAATATACGTATAAAGTGCAATTTGATAAAACTCTGCATGTAAAATTAGGATAAGACAATTTTTCAAAACTGCTTCTAGGTGATCATTCTTCTGTTTTCGTTTGGACGAAACCAATTTTATGTTACCTCACGTAATAAAAGTTTGAAACACAATATTTACAGTTAAGAAACGTGAGATAGGACAGGCCACGTCGCAAGAAGGCTTTTGATGGCTGGTGAATTGACACTGACAACGAAGCGGCAGCCAAAGGAGGGGGGAGCACGCTTGAAATGGACATCCCTCGCGGACACGAATCAACTAAACGAGCTCATGTGCAGATGCTAGATTGTCGTGTCGCTTAACCGAGTTAGATGATGGCTAGGTGGCGGCCTTCATCCAACAGCGGCTTGATCATGGACACTGCTGATGATAAAGGATTACTGATGTGCAAGTACAAATGGTCACAAGTTTGGCGAGCTTCGGAAGGTGATTACACCCCTTTAACACCAGCAGCAGTAAGTGGGCGTTACCGTGAAAGTTGGGACATCTCACTCTGGAGTCCACTCCTCACTGGCCACCACTCTCCAACCCAGGGGGATGAGGCGGACTCCCATCCGACTTATTCCTCTTGGGAAAGTATTCTGGAAAGAGCAACGGGTAGGGGGGAGAGGGGCGTAAAGCAAATGAATGAAGCGAAGCATGGACGTGCGATCTACAAATAAAAAGGGAGCCTACGGCTCAATATCACGTGAAAGCAAGCGCACACGTTGAGGTGGTGCTTGTTGCTACTGGGTAGTCAAGACTTCCGTGCTACGTGGCAGACGGGGCAGAGGTATTTAAACACGGGCGGTGTGCGCAGACGATGCCATCCAGACGGCATCACACATGCCGTCTGCCCCTTTGAACTTGCGTGCACATTTATTTGTCGACCTACCTCCCCCTTTTTTTATGGCAGCACATCTGCCACTAATGCACGCGTTGAGTGCGGCCCCCCCTCCCCCCCCCCACAATATTACACACACCAGCACGGCACCGGACCCGCTTGCCAAACACAGAAACAACAGTGAGTGTATACACCAACATGTACTGCACAGTATCAACCATAGCCCGGGGAAGGTCACGTGAACAACTATAAATTGAACAACTTTTTGTTGCTGTTATTGTTCCGAATACAAAAACCCAAACGCGCCGTTTAAGATTTGGAAGCAAAGATGACTTGGGGGGGGGGGGGGGGGGGGCTTGTTTGTGAATAGGTGCAAGGCTCGTTGTTTATGTTTATAGTTCGGACTACGGGATAGGCTTGTTGAGAGACAGTAGAGGGTTCACGTCCAGGATTACCTTGAGATGGAAATACGGGTTTGTGTTTGGGGATAAGTTAGGGCTAGTGTTTTGGGTTACAGTTGAGAATAAAGGGTCTGTTGTTTATGGTAAGGGATAGGTTTTGGGATTATTGTTGGGGATGAAACGTGTTTTGGGTTATAAGTAGGGTTCGTGTTTAGTGTTTTGGATAGTATTTGAACACATTTCAGTGAAGATTAGATAGTGATTGCAGTTATAATGCAGTTAGGGCTGGCGATTAGCGTCATTGGCTCGTCCAGTATTCGCGATTATGGCTATGAAGTGTTCGAGTTATGGGCTCGCATTTTTTGTTTATATTTCAATTATAGTTTTATTGTAGGCAGAGATAGTGACCAAAGTGAAATAAGGGTTCAGATGTATTGCTAAACCGTACTTTGGATAGTGGTTATGATTATACAACTACTGCTTAGTGTTGTTAGGTACAGTAATGTCCAAGGCCATCCTCAGGGATAGTGTTTATAATTTATAGTTAGGAACTGAGAATGATAGTCTGTATATGACGAGGTCTATTTTTTAGTGTTAAGTCTCGTGTTAATGTGCTCTGGGCTAGTTTGAAGGTTTGGATTCGAGCTAGGGTCAGTTTAGACTTTAGAGGTAGACTACAGCGAGTGGGTGGTATGGGCTAGTTTATTGGGTTATACATTATAGTCTTGGTTCTTTCGGTAAAGTCACGTAGAAGGTTAACAATAAATTAATAAATTATTACATTTTAGAGTGTATAGCGAGCATTACTGGGGGTGATATTTACTAACCAGGATAGGATTAGGTTGCATTATGCAGTTACGGCTAGCGTTTGCAGCTACGCAAAGGACTAGTGTGTTTAAAGATTATAAGCTAGGCCTTAGGGATACACCGAAATTGAACCACATTTTCTCAAACGAAACAAACTCTCCGAGCTGCAGAATCCCTGCCTCTGTGTTCAGATCACTCTACTACCCCGTGACCCGACTCGCATCTCTCTCTCTCTGCAGAATCAACGTGCTCGCCCACTCGTTCTGCACAGCGTCTTTAAAGATGCGGTCAGCACTTTGGACGCTACACTGCATGTTATGTATAACAACACATACGAACTGTGCATTGCAATTGTGTGTGTGTACTGTGTACTGCGTGGTACGAGCAAAGCGAATGACTGTTGTACCGCAAATAAGGGCATCCCAAATCCCGACGTGCGTCTCCGCTGCGGGTCGTCGCGCCTATGACAAGCGCAAGTACGGTATAGTGTGTGTGTGTGCTGTACATGTCTGTTGTTGTTGTTGTTGCTGCTGCTGTTGTTGTTACCCATGAGGGCCGAGCCTCGCTTGTGATGGCTGTACGCGTCGGACGTCTGCCTCGTCCGGTCGTGGCACGCGGAGGCAGAGCGGTCCCGGGGAATCATCTCGACGTCCGCAGATGACGACGATGCTTCACCTCCTGCGGGCGAAGTCCCGGCACTGCCGTCACCTCCAGAAGATCCTCCACCAGGTCCTGTTGCTCCATCGCCTCCGGCCGATGGCCCGCCTCGCCCAGGTTGTCGTCCGTGTTCGTCTTCTTCGCCTCGGCGAGGAGATTCATCTCGAAGGACGCTCTTCGTGCTAAATGCATCTCCTCTGTCGCCGCTGCTGCTGTCAGTGTTCTTACGGTTGTTGTTGTTGTTGTTAGTACTGTTGTTGGCAGTAGGAGTGGTGGTGGTGGTGGCGGCGGCCGTAGTGGTAGTAACCGTGGCGGTGATGCTCTGGTTGCCGTCATCACCGTGGGATTGCGGACGGTCCGCTCGGGTTGCAGCCAGTGCCGGTGTCAGGAGGCCAGGGTTGCCGTTCGAAACCAGTCCTAGATTGGGGTTGCTGCTGCTGCTGCTGTTGTTGTTGTTGCTGTTGTTGTTGTTGGACAGCGGTCTCGTCCGGTAACACCCGGGCACGGTCGCCCCGTCCAGCGCCTCCCACTCGAATCGTCCGCGCAGCGGCCTGTCGCCCTCGAAGTCGAAGTTCCAGCGGCGCCTGTGGTCCTCGGCTAAGGCGGCGAGGGTTTCCTTGAGCTCCTTCTCCACCTCGCCGTGCTCAGGCGAGCCGAAGAGGCTGCGGCAGACGGCGGTACGGGGTAGCACGGGCGAGCGGCGGGAGCCCCGCAACGCCGCCGCCGCCGCCGCCTCCTCCTCGCCCGGGCTGCCCCCGTTGCTGCTGCTGCTGCCGCCGCTGCCGCTGGGGGAGACCCGCACCTCGGACATCATGCCTGCCGCACCACTGTGCGTCTGTGTGTTGTGGCTGTGTCTATTTGAGATGTCTCTGTTGCCTGCTTACCTACTGTGTGTGTGTAATGTATATCTGTGTGCCGGGTAGATGTGTCTTGGTTGTGTGTGTGCGCGCCTGCCTGCCCGCCCGTGAGAGTGCCTGTTACAGTATGCACGTACTGCGGTGCCTGTTGTTTGTAGCTATTATTTTTCGCCCTTACGGTGTACGTGCTTACTGAATGTTAGTATATTGTGTTTGTGCCTAATGTACGAGTCCACCGTGTATGGGTAATATCTTACGCGATGTGTGCCCTTATTGGCTTTGTAATTGCTGAACGAATGTGTAATACGTACAACTATACGAGCACTTCCACTGATAATCAACGTTTCTAAAAATATATATATAAACTCGGCTACAGAGCCCTTCCCCTAACCTTGCTCTTGTTTAAAAAAAAAATAACAACCCAAGACAATTAGAAAATAAGGACTGCTACAACGGCGAGCCCACTGCTTGCTACCGCTGCGCGTACAGCAGCGGCGTAGGAGGTGTTGGTAATCGCTGACATTTGAACGTTGTTGTCTTTTTGGTTGTTCCAAACACAACCATGCGTGAATGATCTTCCCTGCAAAAGCGAAACTTGATCCTCTGCAGCACGCTCAGCAACGCCGCCGTCTCCCCGCCTCTGTTGTTACAAATGAAAGTGCCAATGCGCACGCAGCTCCCTTCCACTCGCTCCCTTTCTTCTTGCCACCCCCCACCACCACCACCTCCTCCTCCTCCACCTCCCTGCCTCCCCCCCACGGCAATGCTGGGAGAGAAAACGTCTCTCTCTCTCCCTGGCGGTAGCAGTAAACTAACCCAAGGAGGTTAATTGTGAGTACAACTTTGTTTTTAGTTGTGATGGCTTGACAAAAATTGTTTAAAAAAACTGTACACGGTGCCCCCCACCACCACCACCACCAATAAAGGCACATTAAAGAAAACTGGTTAAATCTATAACCACCCACCCACCTCTTAAAACATTTTTTGAAATAAATGTTGAATGTTGCTTTGAATGATGTTTGTGTTGTTGATGTTGTTGTTGTGTTACGAACGCGGAGACCCACACGAACACCCCAGACCCTGCACGCGCCCCGCACTGGGGGGGGGGGGGGGGGGGGGGGGGGGGGGCTCTCTCTGAGCGCGGGGCTGGTCCCCATCACGTGACATACACCCCCCGCACTGCCCCACCCCCCACTATGACACCACCCCAACCCCGCCCCTCAGGCTACGCCCCGCTTGCTCCTCCACGCGAGCGAGTGCGCGTTCCGTCACGTGACGCGGCATCCCCCAACCCCACCCCTTCTCCACTATCCCCCCCTCCCCGCACGCCCTTCAACCCCCCCCCGACCCCTCCTCCCTCACCCGGCCCCTCCCCCCGTCTTTCCCCCGCCGCAGCTTCCTCCGCCCCTCAGTCATCGCGTGACCCAGGCGAACTCACAGGCGATTGGACGGCGCAATTTATTTATTTATTTTCTCCACAAGCGGCCCCTCCCCCGCCTACTCTCGGGGTAGCGTTGCTTTCGATTCCCACGATTCGCAATCGAATGTTCCTCTGGAATCGATTCGGGGAATCGATTGTGTGTGTGTTGCGTTGTTTTTGTAGCCGTAGCATTGTGTACGCGTGTGGAGGTGAAACTTTGTGGCGACGTCTGGCGTCGCTTTCAAAGCGTTCCCAAACGCACGCTTCTTGGTGTTTGTCGCGAGCCTACCTAGGAATCTGGACATCGATGTGTCGCTATAAGGCGAGTTTCGTGTTTACTAGCCGTCTTACCGTGTTGACTGATAGGACGCTTGAAGCGCATGACGTGTCGACTTTTACGATAGCTGACGGGAGTCGTAACATCATTGCGTTTACACAATCTTAATGCGTCATGTTGCTGTGGTAATAATAATAGCAAGAGTGTGCGCTTCCATACGTCTTTGTACGTGAGTCAGATTATAACGTTGAAAGAAATTTACCTTAGAAATATTCCATCGGACGTGTCCCTTGATGTAATTGCCACACGTTTCACCTGGTCTCATCAAATTAAATGCATTGAATTTAGTCCACACATTTTGTCATTTAAAAATATATATTTAATTTCCAGCCTTTGGCAAATTCACCGCTGGATGAAGGCCTTACTCCACCTGGTCTCATCAAACGAAATGCATTGAATTTAGTCGACACGTGTCATTTAAAAAATATATATATTTAATTTCCAGCCTTTTGGCAAATTCACCGCTGGATGAACGCCTTACTACCCACGCCGTGTCGGCCAGGAGGGTTGTTTGACCATACTTCCCCGCGCTGGTCGCGGTACGAGTTGGTGGTGTGCGAGGTCCCCAGGACCGACACGGATGTCACTCGCCACTGAGGTCAGCTGTGACCGGATAATCGAACTCGGGTATCTGTAGTCATAGTGTGCCAACCACTACGTCACCCTTTTCACCCCCTGTGAGTGAATGGCAATGTCGATAATTTACTTTTGATGGATCACTTCCCCAGGGTGTCCCATTAAAAATTGAAATCCTTGTCCCACTGTGGCTGACACCTGGTGGTTTTAAGCAAGACCGTAGCCATGGAGTCAACATTGGTGGGGACCAAATCTTAAAGGGGGTCTGGGGTCCCCCCCCAGAAAAAAATCGAAATTTGAAAACTAATTTCCAGCCATTTCCTGCCTAAATTATAAAAAAAAAATTCACTAACACATGGGATGGACTTTTTATGTATTTTGTACAATAATGTCTAATAGTGTATTGTTTTACATTGCTCTGTTTTTTTCTGTTTGACCTTTTCTTGTTTCATTGTATGTAATGGCAGAGATTAGGGATTAATAAAGTACAACCATAGCCACAATCATATGAACAGAAATCTATGCATTGTTATATGAAGACAAGTCCAGATATTGTGGCCAAGGTTTAGCAAATTGTTATTTTTATTTACATAGCATCGCAATTATTTTTTAAAATATTTGTATAGCAATATATTGGGGGGGGCATTTTTAGCATATTTGATTATTGGGGGGGATGTGTCCCCCCCAATGCATATTATAATTACGGCCTTGGTTTTAAGTAAATATGTAAGATTGCTTTTGAGCTACACGCTACATTAGTTTAACCATCCACTATAATCCTTGACATCCATTTTACAAACGTTGCATCGTGTCAAAACAGTTTAAAATGTACACCTGTAGTGTCGTGCATCTCTTCTTCGTTCTCACTCGACGCGTTGCACACGCACTCAGTCGGGGACGAGGTGGTCGCAGGCACCGTCCTCCCCTTTTGTTGTTGAGTTCACGCCACCACTCGGGCCCCCTCTCTCTCACGACCACGCTGCCGCACGACCCGTCCAAGACACGACCCTGTCCGCGTTGCACCGACGGCGTCGACCGGACAGCCAACCGAACCCACCAGACGGTTCCAGGGGCCTCCCCACGATGTCTACCATGAACCCTTGCCCCAGTTCCACCGCCCTGCCGGCACACACACCGCATATATGCTCAACGGCGTGTGCGCTAAGTGCACACCTGCAGTTGCAGCTGCTGTATAACAGCGCTATGTCACTACACATGTGATAAAAAAATATTGGCAAATGTACGTCATCAGTCATTACCTATCCACTGCTTGATGATGGCCTTCCAAATCATCACCATCCGATTAGCGTGGTTGGCTACGTACGGTGCCCAAGAAGTTCAACATACATCCCGCACGGTCCCGCGATAGAGAAAGCCATCTCGCTCCTACTCACCAACCAATCTCATCGCCCCATCTTCATGGTTGGCGTCCTCTTGGGCAAATTCCCTCCATTGGCTGCCACTCAGTTGTTATTCTCGAAATGTCGGCCATCATCCCTTCCTATGATGCGTCCTGCACAACTAAGCCCATGTACATGTCCATTTCCTTTTCGTCAAATCCACTTGCTATTTGACAGCCACCCAAATATAAATATATCAATTGTATACTGCTTAATAATAATGCTGCATACCTGTCAACCCGTTATCAGTGCCTATCTTGTTACAGACCAATTCAGACCTTATTGATCATCCCGTGCCCTTATAAATCTCAACGTTCATCCTACGAAGTCCCATCACAATTTTGTATACACAATGTATTTTTTGCCCGTATTGAAATGGCTGAGCCTGAAAACTAAATTTCCCTGTACAAGAATACGGGTAAACTGCATGGGTTGACAGGTATGATGCTTATTCTTGGTTCTTTCGGTAAAGTCACGTTGAAGGGAAACAATAACGTGACTTTACCGAAAGAACCAAGAATATGAATCACTGCAGTCACGAAAGCTTTAAATCAAAAGGTATGATGCTGTGTTTTGCATCAAGCAGGGGTGGTTATAAACCAGTAGGGGGAATGAATTGAACATACAAGTACAGAGGGCCCCCCAAAACTACAACAGCCTCGGGCCTCCAAATTTAATCCGGCCCTGACTCCGCTGCCCTAAAGCACTCAACACCACAGCAGTGCACTCAACAACATTGGCTCCTAACGGTGCGTCTCAATTACTGCTCCAGTGCCCCACAGATTTATCGTCGTGTGTTAACGTATGACATAATGTTCTTTCAGCAGTTCCCGAACTCGCGTGAACCCGGCTCAGTGTTTATAAAGGGCCCTCATTATGATGGGCAAGCCACATAGCACACGACTGCATGCCCAGTGTTTGCCTTGGTTAGACATTTTCTCCTGAGATCGAGCAGCTAAATGTTTGGAATTGCATTAATGTCCTGTATAACGTAACATATACACAATATTCTTTGTTGCACATGTCATTAGAATCCTCAGCCATGCTCAATCCACTGCCTGATTAAGAACTCATAAATCATATGCATCATTATCTTGGAACGGTTTCAGTCCATCTAGTACCTGCACATTAACTGATTGCATTGATCAGTCCCTCTACGCGGTTGTATAGTATCCAGTACTCTACTACAGTATATTTACTATCTTGATTTGAAGCTTTCGTGACTGCAGGAATCCATACTCCTTGGTTCTTTCGGTAAAGTCACGTAGGTAGACAAAATAATATATCACGACGTTTCACGATGTTTCGATCGCAACGCAAGCGACCGTCTTTGGTCGCTTGTGTTGCGATCGAAACGTCGTGATTATTATTTTGTCTACCTACGTGACTTTACCGAAAGAACCAAAGAGTATATTTACTGTATTGTTCCATATAGTTCTTGCTCTTAAATCTTTTGGGGTCATGTCAGTCGACTAGCTGAATAAAGGCCTTCTCACACCGTGTCAAGCATGAGGGTTGTTTGATCATACTTGACCTTACTCGTCAGTTTGGGTTGGTGGAGGGGGTGCCCATAACCGGCTGAAATATCACTCACCACGGATGTTAGTCATTGCTGGGAGTCACGGCAAAGACCATTGACGATTGTCTGAATCGGTTATGGCCTCGCCTAGGTCGATCACTGTTACATTGTTTTTATAGCTTTATTTTGGTGATTTTGAAAACATTTTGGTTTAGCCATGTTTGTTTGTTGTAGTACAGAGTTAGCCTGATAACTTTAATCTAAATTGTCTTATGGTTATATTCTTAGTTTTTTCGGTAAAGTCACGTTGAAGAGAAACAACAAAATAACAAAATATATATAAAACAATAAAAAATTGTCACGACGTTTCGACCATAACTCAAACGGTCATCATCAGGTGTGTCGGTTTGCATAAATTTATTTTGAAAACGGCATATTTATTTATTTATATATAAAAAAAATAACGTT